GATTTTGTTTGTGTTTATAAAGCATAGATGTTTTGTGATGTGTTTCAGTGAGACCAACGAAGTCAACTTTGTTATGTATAAAGTGTTCTATAATTTGAGAAGATTTTATTGGGTCTGTAGAATCATTGATTCCTCTACTATTATGAGTAGCAAAAGTAATTATATCTCCTTTAATTATATTGGTGGATCTATTATCGTCCAGATGGGAAATGTTTTTGTCAATTTTTTCAATGGTGTTTTGTCTGTTTTTATGAAATTGGACCACTTGGTTCTCTAAAAATAAATCAATGTTATCGTTAATAATAGAGGTATTCCAGTTATCAGTAGGAATACCATTAAACTGTGATTCGCCTGGTGTGGAGTATATTATAATCGACGAGCTGTGTGTCTCTCATTATTAGTGAAAACAAGAAATTGAGAATCCAATTTGGCAAGATGAGATTTAATCGAGTCTAGTTCCTGGAGTTTTATTAAGATTAAATCTAGTGGGTTTGAAGTGTTGATTTCATTATTGTTATTATTGGTACTTGTAGTTGTAGTTTGTGAGTTATTTAAATGATGAGAGCGGGTATCATTAATATTCCTTGTATTGGAGGAAAGAGATCGATTACTATTTCGGTGAATGCCAAGAGAATTTCTACGAGTAGTATTATTTGATAAATTCGTTATTTCTTGTTGATTATATTGCTTACTGAGAATTCAGGGTCTGCCGTCTAAATGGTAACTGTTATGTATGATTTGTTGTGAACAAGCAGATTTCATATCCTCTTCGGTTGCAAAAGCGGCATAAGCAATATTATTGTGAAAATAGCATGATCTTGCATTATAGGATCTTAGTGTGCGAAACTCTTCTGCAGGTGAAGTCTTGTTTTTGAAGCCTTTAAAACCAGCAACATGTCTATTTCTATCTTTTAGTTCCTCCACTGGTGTATCTATATGTGCATATCTAATGACATGTCTATTTATATTGTGTGCCCAAGCTGTATTGAGCTGGTGTAGTTTTCTGATTTTGCCGAAGGATACGATGACATCACGTATAGAGTCATATTTATTTCTATATTGGTCTACAATGGAGATTATGGATCCAAAATATGTGAGCGCTCTGTTTATGTGATTTTGTGTAATGTCACAGGGGACGGCTTTAAGCTTGTATATGGGATTGTTGTGGTGTTGGATACTAATTGGAGCTTCATTGATTAAATTAAAGGGAAGTTCAGGATGAGTGTTCAGGGCTTCATCTATAGCATCCAATAGTAATTTGCGATTGTTGAATTCTATAAAGATATTAGCGTTGCCATTATGAAACTTCCAATCTATGTTGACAAAACCAGGTTTTTGAGAAAAAAGGGAGGAAATAAAGTTTAATTTTTCTATTCTATTTTCTCCTGGCATAGCAAAAGCTAGGAGTGAAGCGAAAACGTTTCCTTTATTGTTGGGTTTAGTCACATGAGAGGTATTTTTTATTGTGTGACATAAATCATCTTTGTGTAACTCATAGCTTTGTATATTACTATTATTCAGGTTATGTAAAGACGCGTCAATATTGTTATTGTTGTTGTTGAGATCTGCAGACTCGTGAATATTTTGTTTTTGATGTTTTGGTTGTTTTGTGACTAATGCGTAAGATTTTTTGTTGTTGTCAATTTTGTTTTGTTTAATTTTTGTTGTTGTGTTTTGATATTTAGACGAAGAAGGTTGTGTATGTAGAATAGAAGGAAGAGTGTCATTTTGTGTAGTATTTGTATCGGTTAGCATATCGTCGTCATTTAATATGTCCATATGTGAGGAGATTTCCTCATCGTCTTGGAGTGAAATAATATCATCAGATTTGTTATGGGGAAGAGCCGTTTCAAGAGTATTTGAGATGATATCTTTGGTGTTGTTTGTTCTATGGTCACTTGCTCCAGTTTCGTGTATGTTGTAGGTGCAGGATCTTGCTAGGTTTTCAATAAAGTTATTGTTTAGAAAAATTTCCTGTGCAGTACGTTCTGCTGGAAAGGCTTTTAAGTATTCCTCATTTAGTTTTCTAACAAGCCAAAATACTTCTGGCGTTTCGTATGATAAAAATTCAGCGATAGCGAAGTCTCGTTTTTCTAGTTCTGGTGTAATATAAGACTTCAGTTTTTGGAAGTTTAAGACTTCTTGGGTAAAAAGGTTTTTGAAAATATCAAGAGTCATGTTGTATAGTTAAAGTTTTTAATAAAAATAAAAGTTTTCTTTGAAAAATAAAATTTTTGTTTTTTCTAAATTTTTGGTATTGGAGAGAGAGAGAAAAGAGTTTTTTCACCATCGGTTTCATCATTACAATAGTTTTCATTATTTCCGTTGTTTTCGTAATTTCGGCCGGTCGATTGCTAATTCGCGTTAAGGAATTACAGCTCCGTTTAGCAATGATCTACAGAATTATACTCAATAATCTTTTCAAAATATCTCACTAAATATTGGTCCAATCAGGTTGAGCTTATATTCGTTGGAAAGCTCTTATCAAGACAGTTCTAATGATACTATTTCCATCAAAATATTGATCATTAGTTCAAGAGTTATTCCATTTAACAATAGCATTAAAAATACAGGTCCTTATTGGGCAATATGGCAATTTTCTATGAAACGTGTATGTGAAATACTACTTCTATTAGCAAAATCTCATATATATCCTTACAAAAATATTATTAATAATGTATATCTTATGAAATTAATTAATTACTTTTCTTATTGATATCTGACTTTTTTACCAAAATTACCTTCAAAAAAATATGCTAATTATTTAGTATATTCCAATGAATATTATTAAGAAGAATTTTATTTTTCTATGAAAAAAACATATTCTTTCACAAAGTCAGCTTAAAAAAATAAAAGAAAATCTTTAAACATCATATAATATGACTAATCAAAGCTTAAATGTATATATTTAACTAAATACTGTATTATATTTTAAATTTTTAATTATTTTTTATTTTTAATATAATTAATTTATTTAGAATTTTTCAAAAGAAGGTATAATATTTGGATGTATGTTAACTAAAGATAAATATATTATTAGTTTAAAATAGATTCATAAGAATAATGATTGAGCTAAAATTAATTATATTATAAGAGTAAGTATAATAAATTTTATATTATATTATATAGAATTAATTAACATATAATAAATTTTTTTAGGTATAAATAGAAGTTGATAAGTGGACAAAGTTTAAATATTGAGAACCTGAATTTATAACAAAGATTTTTATGGAATTATTAAATTTTTTTTATATGACTTTAATGATGAAAAGAAAATGTTAGCATATATCTATTGGACAAAATCAGTTACCGAAGATAATTTAGGTGTATTGTCTTTTAATGGATTTAGTAATTATGATTTTATAAGGATATCAGCTATTGATCGATGTGTTAGATTTTTTCAATTAGATAATAAATATTATATTGTAGATAAGAATAGTTGAAATTTTATAAAATAATATTTTATTTTATTCAAAAAAAAATATATATACAGTTAACTCTTGTTATAACGAATTCTATGTCTTAGATCTCAACTTCACTATAAGGTTATAGTGAAGATTTTAAGAGATTTGATTGGCCAATTCGCTATAACAAGAGTATTTTTATTATATTTGTTCAAAAAATTCGTTATATCAAGAGTTCGTTATATCAAGAGTTGACTGTATAATAATTTTTTTCAGAAATTTTTCAATAAAATTTTTTATAATAACATTTTACATTATATGTATCAACTTTCTATACTACAAAAATTTATATATTTATAGTATTATAATTGATTAAATTATCCCAATATATAATATAATTATATTTAATTAAAATCTAAATTTGTAATTAGGGCTGAAAAATTTTGATTTTTATTTTCAGCATTGTTTGTAATACTTCTTATAATTATTATTATATACTTACATAAAAAAGCATGAAATAAATCTACAGATATATTGTGTGCTTATAAAACTTCTCATATTTATTATTACATATATATAAAAAAGCATGAGATAAATCTACAGATATATCATATGCATCTTTATTAGATATTAATTTTATTTTAACGCACGTTATTTCTCACTTTAAAAGTTTTATTTCATGTCAAAATAATGAATAAAAAAAAATTTGGTCAAACTAATTCTATTGATAATTTTAATCAAAATATAATCATTTTATAAATACTTTATATTATTTCTTTTATCATATAATTAATTTTTAATCATTAATTATTTTCTTTATATTAATAATGATCAATAGTGTAAGATTTATAACGCCAATTAAAAGTTTTAAATGAACATAATAAAATTTTGCTTAAACAACTTAAGCAAAGTCAAAATATTTTATTAAAAGAATCTAATCAAAATGTATGTAATTTCAATATAATTTTAAAAAATTTATCTAAAATGAAAACTAACTATAAATATTATAGTTATCAAGAAGATCTTCAGTTACATCTATCGTATCAGTATTTTCTAATACATCTGTATCTAATGCTGTTGCAGAATCTTTAAGTCAGAAATTGTATACATCAATACAAGATTCTATTTTGTCAAATATAACAGTAGCTAGCAATGGTATTCCAAAACCTTATAGAAGTAAAGCTAAAAATATTTGTAGAGAGTTAAAATTACAAAAAGTTGTTTATCAAGATTATCGTATAAGTTAAATTCAATTTTATAATAAAGTATAATAATTAAAAATTAATATATTTAATATTGATTCTGTTTTATAGAATAATTTACGTGATCTAATTAAAGCTGGAGTATTAGATTTAAATAAAAAATGGTGAGACCAAGATAAAAAAAAAATTTTAAATCTTATTAAAATGATAAAATTTATTTTTAAATAATTGGAAATTTTAGATTTTTTAATTTATTAATATATTATACTATTAGTTCAAATAAAAAAATCCCTCTTTTCCTAATTGTATCAATGATTGGATTATAAAAAAATCAACACAAAGCATTATTAATAATAAGCGTAAGTATTATTATTATAATTAATTAAAACAATTTTATTTTAACTTTCTTTTTTACTTTTTTTTAATTTAGGTGAATATTCATGAGATAAGGAAAAAAATACTATAGTAAATAAAGATCAAGAGCAAGATGAAGAATTACAAGATAAAAATGAAGGTCAAATACAAAACAGTAAATCACGAAATAAAGATAAAGATCAAATGTAAAATGATGAATTACAAGATGAAAATGAAGATTAAATGTAAGATAATGAAATAGAAATAACAAGAAACAAAAATAAAAATTAAGAACAAAATGATAAAATAGAGATGATGTTAAATAAAGATCAAAAAATAATAAAATGTTACCTAATATAAAAAAAAGATCTCTATATAACAAGGTAATAATAATAATATATTAATTAATTAAAAGAATATTATATTAATAATAAGTTACTTTATATTTAATAATAATTTACTTTTTTAGAAGAAAAGATCACTAGTTACTGCAAATACTAGTCAAAAATCAAATTTATATTTTAATGATAATGATTATGAATTATCATTACAATAAGTTAATATAAATTTTTCATTAAACTATATATTTATAATATAAAATTTGAATATTAAACTTGTATTTTTTTATATAGGATTTCAATGTTTTTGAATATAAATTAGTAGTATTTAATAAAAAAGGTAAAAATAGCATAGTTAAAAATAAAAATGATAAGCAGAAAAGAGTATACGAATTAAATAATAATAAAAAGCAAAAAAATAAAGAAATCAAAGATAATAATAAACAAAAATCTCACAGATTAGCGGTAAAAGAGTTAGCAAGTATATATAATATCATTATTTATTAATTTTTTTTTTAAAAAAAATTCTAACATTTTTAATTAATTAATTTTAAAGATTACAAGAATTAATTAGATTATAATGTAAGATTAAGACATGAAGTATTATTTTTGTTGATTTTAATGTAAAAAAAATTTTTTGATTCATTAATTTTGATATTGATCAGCATTCAATAAAATAAGTAATTGATTTTTAGCTTTGATAAATTAATGTTTTAACTTTTAAGAAATTACATAAAATAATATAATTTATATATAATATGAATTACTTTAATTTATTATTTAATTATTAATAATTATATTATTTTTTAACCGGTTCTTAAAATCTTTAAATTTTTATGTAACTATAAGCTGGCTAAGTTATTTTTAGAAAATATGATTTTGTAAGATCACATAATTTGTTTATACTGTTATATTATATAATCTTTGTTTATTTGTATTGTTATACGAGTCGATTGCGAAGTCTACCGACTGAAAAGTAAACTTCAACGCGTATAGCAACGTTTTAGGTAT